GCAGAGCGGCGCGGTCGGGCTGTGGCGCCCCGAACCCCCGCTGCGGGCAGCGCGGTCCCGCCGGTGAGATTAAGGGGAGCAGTGCGAGCTCCTCGGTGCCTGTGCAGTCAGGCACTTCCCAGCAACACGCGTGCTTCCAGCACTCTCTTTTTGGTTTCCCTCCCCTAACGCTTATTTCCTTCTCCTTTCGCAAGTGGCTTCCCAAACCACCTGGAGCTCTTTGTTTCTATTGCAAGCAACCGTTGCGTTTCCTTAAGATGCTGGGAAATTCCTGTTCTTGCTAAAATCACAGCGAGCTTTTCGTTTCGGCTCCTGTGAGCCAGGTGACGGGGCTTAAGAGTTTTGAAGTGGCACGTACTCAAGATTTATACCTGTTGAATTATTTCCCCCTCCCCCCTTTCTTTTGCTGGAAGTAGCTTTGAAAATGGCTTAGGTGATTACGAAATGTTAATGTTGACAATTGCGTTAGCTGGTTTATGAAGGAAGAGTCTGAAACAGAGGAGGTAGTTGCCAGATCTTAAAGTCTACACTATGAGAGAAAACCTACATGTTAAAATTAAGTATCAGGGAAAAGTTATTTCTTGGTAATCCTTTTCTCCCAGTTTAAATACTTTTAATGGTTGTAATTTTCCTTTTGTCTACACTGACAAGGAAATAATAGTTTGTTAATTGCTATTATTAATCATAAGAGCACTGATAACAAGCATTGTTACATTCTTGAACTCTGCCTCCTGAAGCTTCAGGCTGTATTTATGTTACTTCAGTATAGTAAGAGGAAGAGCTACAATGTTTGTCTGCTTACTACCAGTGTTTGAAGAACCATACTGCTTTGATTTATCCTGAGCACTGATAGATCACATGCTGTTGCATGTTGTTTTGAATGAATTAGATACTTAAGTAAGGAAAGGTAGAGCATAGAATTTTTGCTCTGTGATGAGTGATGCTGTCATTGTTCAAAAACTATGCCAGTGATGAGCCTCCACAGCTGCCTGGGTGTGATGTGAATGCAGTCATGGATGAGATACACACAACATCATCCTTTTTCAAATGGTGGCAAAATCCATGCTTGTGTGAAAGCCAGGTGAAGTGGGAGAACTGCAGGGACAACATCAACAGCAGTCAGTGAGAACAGTGGATTATAGCAACAAGAAGGGGGATGATGAATGTTTAATTAGGATAGTAGTTATTAGAATTCTTAGGGGGTGGGAATGTCTGCTCATCATCTGTTTTAACAGTTCTGGATCCCTTCACATTCATAGTCATACACAGTGCAAGGTAGCATAGATAGATTATTTTCCCCTCAGTCATATGATTTGCCTAGTATGATATTTGAATCTCTTAGTTCACAGCAGGTCCTGTTTTTCAGTTTTAATTATCCAGGCTTCTTAAAAACAACACAGTTTTCAAGAGAGGAAGTTTCTGTATCTGAATTGCCATTGTTGCTTATGCAGGTAGTAGAGCACTGTGAAATAGGATGTTTTGTCTGATCAGATGTTGTGGTTTAACCCAGCAGGCAGATAAGCACCACACAACTGCTTACTAACTTCCCCGCAGCAGGATGGGGGAGAGAATTCAAAGGAGTAAAAGTGAGAAAACTCGTGGGTTGAGATAAAGACAGTTTAATAGGTAAAGCAAAAGCTGTGCCTGCAAGCAAAGAAAACAAGGAATTCATTCATTGCTTCCCATCCACAGGCAGGTGTTTGTCATCTCCAGGAAAGCAGGGCTCCATCACGTGTAACAGTTACTTGGAAAGACAAATGCCACCACTCCAAACATCCCCCCCTTCCTTCTTCTTCCTCCAGTGTTATATGCTGAGTATGACATCATATGGCACGGGATATCCCTTCGGTCAGTTAGGGTCAGCTGTCCCAGCTGTGTCCCCTCCCAACTTCTCCTGCACCCCCAGCCTCCTCACTGGTGGGGTGATGTGAGGAGCAGAAAAGGCCTTGACTCTGTGTCAGCACTGCTCAGCAATAATGAAAACATCAGTGTTTTATCAACATTCTTCTCATCCTAAATCCAAGACACGGTCTTATACCAGCTACTAGGGAGAAAACTATCCTAGCTGAAACCAGGACATCAAGGCTTCAGCACCATGATATGCATTAACTACCATATTTATGTCTTCAGGACATAGTGTTTGTGGGTGCTCATAGTTGCAGTTCCTTCTTGTGAAGAATCATTTGTTTCATGTTCTAGACAAGGAGGTAGAGACTCTGAGAATTTGGCCATGTTGAAGGCCACATGCTGTAGCTCTCAGAGCTGCTCTCTCCATGGTTGCTGTTCTGAATTCATGATGCTCATGTTTGTCATAGCATCAAATGTTTCTCTAAATCTGAAAACTTTAACAAATACAGTGTTGCTTTCTAGAACAGCATCAACTCCTACTCTGCATCATAGTCCAGAGATGCTAGGTGATTCTTTTTCTGATTTTTTTTTTTTTTTTTTCTCTCAGTAATTACCTGGAGAGGAAGAATAGGTAAGAATGTGAAGAAACTACTCTAGGCTCTTCATCAGTAATGTACTGCAGTATAAATATGGACACTGGTTCAGTTTTTCTTTCCTCTCGTGTTCTATTGATCTGTAGGATGTTGTAAGACTTGGTGAAATACTTGATACACTGTGAACTGGAGAAGTGAAAGCTGCTGAAAAACAGTGGATGGTATAACATTCTGATTTTAATAGATATTTGAAGCTGTAGTCACTATTTTTGAAGGTAAAGCTACTGGGTGGAGAATGTGAGTGTTCTGGCTAATGTAGCAATTAATAACCTTTGAGCTAACTTCTCAAAACACATGTGAAATGATTAACTTATTTAATTTAGAAAGAATCTGTAGTGAAATTCATCTTACTTGACTTGCGGTTCTAAAAGTTAGCTGGCTTTTCCTGTCACAGGAGAGGAATACATCAGATGCACGGTGCCTCTTTGGCATCTCCACAAGGCAACATATCAAAGTGGTATCTGTTTTTTCCACTGACTGTGGAGTGGCCTTAGGTCCTCAGCTTACATGTTGTTGTATAAACTGGGAAAGATGAATCCTACTCCCACATCTCAAAATGCAGATTGTTATCTATTTCTGAAGATCATTTCAGCTTAGGTTCTTTGCATATTGAGGTTGTGTTCTTCCCTGGGATTAATTTGCATTAATCAGCTGTACATCTTTGTCATTGTAGATTTTCAGCTCAAGATCAGTGTGCTTGTGCTGGTTTTCCAATGAAGTACATCCTGGTAACTGGTGGTGTCATCTCAGGCATTGGCAAAGGGATCATTGCAAGCAGCATTGGCACCATACTGAAATCATGTGGTCTACGTGTCACTGCAATCAAAATTGATCCTTACATAAACATAGATGCTGGAACCTTTTCACCATATGAACATGGTATGGAGGGTAGTGCTGCTTCCTTTTGCATAAATATTCATTGCATAAATATTGCATTCACAGTAATGTGGTGTTCTGGTGGTTTTGTGTGTTTGTTTTCTTTTTTTTTAAATAGTGTAGCAGTTATTAGTTATTTCATAATCTGTTTTGCAATGTTTTTTTTTAAATAGTGTAGCAGTTATTAGTTAGTTATTTCATAATCTGTTTTGCAATGCAAATTTGTTCCTTACTATATGTTCTCAAGGATATTGTCTGCTCTAAATAGAGGAGAAACCTGTTTGTTGAAGACACTCATGTGAGTAGATGCTTCCTTTCCATAAAATACCACTTTGTTGGGGAAATCCTAGCTGTAGGCCTTGTTCACTTAGTGCTATCTTCAGTTCAACTTGATAAAAAAAAAAAAAAATTGGAATAGTACTCTTAAACTTACCTGAAAAAAAATCCTCAACAGTTGTGAGTGCTGTTTTCTAGGTGTCAGTGCCTTCTACTGTAAGTGTCTTCATGAGAGTTAGATTAAGTTCCCATTTTAGTCAATGAGGATCTAGTCAAAACCATCAGTGATGCTTAGAAAACCAGCTAATATAGTTTTAAAGTAGATCCTTAGTTTGGTTGGTTAGTTCTCCAAGCTACGTAGGTTGTATTGACTACATTGCTCATGAGCTACAAGCCAGCATATGTAACACTGAATGTTCATTCAGCTGTCTGGCTTGTTACTCGTACATTTATTAAAAACAGTGAAAAAAGACCACTTTGCTTTTTAAGTGGAGGAAGAGCACAGCGTATGAGACCTCTCTCAGAAAGCCAAATTTAACTAATCCAGTAGTCTCACACTTTCAAAAGTGTATCTGGTGCTACTTAAGCAGTTGACCGGGAAGTTCTGCCTTTACCTTTGGTGGTAAGACTCCTGTGATGACTTGAGTTTGTGAGGATGTGTTCCTCCCCTGGATCAGGTGCAGGGGAGAAGGGATGCTGCAGCATGTCATTCCCAAGTTGTGTTTTGTTTTGTTTTTTCCCTCTGTTTGCTTAAGAGTTTCTTGCAGCTTGTGAAGAAAACACTGGCTTTCGGGGTGGTGTGTAGAAATTCACACATGCCAGGATGGCAAACCTCTTTTGTTAAGATTTTGGCAGAAATGAGATTGAGTCAAAGGATTTTAATTCTATGATATCTAAGGAGGTTTTTTTTAATAATATATTTTGTTATTCTTCCAAGGCCTGCTTATGAGAAATGTTGGTTCCACTCTGTTTCTGTTGGCTTAAATGATAACTTAGTGCAGAGGAGGTTCTCAGTGCCTCACAGAATCAGGCATGAATCTTCCACTCTGTTGTACACATTGTGGTGTGTTTGTTAAACTGTTTGTTGAGGAGGAGTGTTGTATCCTGGTGGGATATATATTTCTGTGGTCCACGCTGTGCTTTCAGGGGCATTGCTTTTTTTTTTTTCTTGTGCGTTAGTAACTTGTTTAGCTGCTGATTCATTGGGTCATGGTAAAACATTTTATGGCTTTTCTGAAGAGCTTTCCACCCTTACCTCAAGATCTATCAACTTTAATTCTTTCAGAAATTGACTAGATTCAGAATTTAGAGACTCTTTAGAGATCTAAGAAACGTCTGACCTTGGAGGATATTTTAATGAGATTTTGCAGGGTCAGCAATAACCCTCGCTTTGGACATAGTGAACCAAATGCACAAGATGAAACAACAGAATAAGGAACAGTGATCATATTTGAAGAAGCAGTTATGTTCATCATAACTTTACTCCTGATCCAAGCCTTAATCATTAAAATAGATACAAACAACTGGAATTTGTAGTGAAGCACTTTGAACATGTGTAATAATTCATGCTTATAAAAGCAGTTTTTGGCTCCCATGTGGAAATGAATGTTTTATTTATTGTTAATTTATGATTTCTGGAGATGTTTTTTCTGATCAAGGGTTGCAGCATGCTGTTGAAATGCTGGATAAATATTTTGAAGTCACTTAAATACTTTGGCAGTATAACTTACATTTATTTGCAATACTATATGTGACTGAGGGATAGGCATTTGATGTAAAAGTAATGACATTTAGTCACACAGAATGACAACTCAGATTGAGTTGCAGCATGTGCTTTATTGATATGTTGTTATGATATGTCATTTAAAAAAAGCCATTTATTCAATTTTAAGATGTTTTTTTTTTTCCTGCTGTGTGTTTCATAATTTCTGATTATTTTATTGCTTTTCTGTCTATTTTCACTTCCTTTTTTCAGGTGAAGTTTTTGTGTTGAATGATGGTGGAGAAGTTGACTTAGATTTGGGAAATTATGAGAGATTTTTGGACATCAATCTCTATAAAGATAACAACATCACCACTGGAAAGATATATCAGCATGTCATTAATAAAGAAAGACATGGTGATTACCTGGGAAAAACAGTTCAAGGTGATATTTTTAATTCTGTGTGATACTAGTTCATTCAGTCTTCACAAAAGAGAGATCAGCTTGAACAAGCTCCTCCTTGCTGCATCGTCTTATTCCTTTCTCCTTCCCAAGAGATACGGGAATATTCCTGTGATGTTGGGCTTCTTGGTTCAAAGAAAGGAGGGACAGAAAAAGGAGCTAGTAGTTTCCTTTTGACTTTCTACTCATTTTCCCCTTTTTGCATGCAAGACCTGGTATATGCACCTAAAGTAAGGTATGCTTGTCTCCTTCCCTTTTGTCTTGTAGTTGTTCCACACATCACTGATGCAGTTCAGGAATGGGTAATGAATCAGGCAAAAGTCCCGGTGGATGATGACAGAAAAGAACCACAAATCTGTGTAATTGAGGTAAGTATGGAACCCTTTAGGATATATATTCACAGCAAACACAAAGAACTAGCTTACTTTTTCTTTGCCACTTACTGTAAAAAGGTCAGACTGAAGTTTTATGGAGAGCAGCAATGCAGAGAAATGTGTTTATTTTCTTCGGTTTGTTCTGAGAATGATAGGCATGGTCTTATCCCTACAGCTTCTGTTTACTTGACTGAATCCCTTCTAGAACACTGCTGAAACTGAGCTGCTTAAGTTTATTCATTTATAAAATTAAAGCAGACAGTTACTGTAACGTGAAGTATCTGTTCCAAGATACAGACATTTGACTGAAGCTTTATACTGTTAATAGTTTCGAGAAAACTTGTGTGATAGTCGAAATCTCCTGTGGTCAATAGGAGAGCCTGTAACATTCTAGCTTTCTGCCCTGGTTAGAATCATAGAATCAATTCTCTGGCAGAAAAGCTGCATTTTTGAGAAGACTGCAGCACCTGGTTTGGTGAGAACAAAGCTGATAAGATACTTTGTTTTAGTTTGTGGCCAGCCATGGTATGTGGGTTTCCATAGTGATCAAGGGCTCTAGCAGTTTAGAGTTAGCCAGGTGCTGAGGCTAGGGGGAGTGAAAGCCAGGGCAGCTGACCTGTACTTTGTGGGTTTTTTTTTTTTTATATTAGTATTAAGATTAGGTTTTGTTATTATTTCATTAAATCTGTTTTCATTTCAACCCACTGGTCTCCTTTCCTTTCCCCGGTTCCCCTTTCCAGGTGGGGAGGGGTCAGTGGGTGATAGAGTAGTTGACTAAACGAAGACACTTTCCATATGGCTTCAAATGTCCATCTTGTTGCTCGTGGTCATATTTAAAGGAATGTGTTTAAACACTGTATAAATTAGTTTCTCACTTTCTGGTGTTATTTTTAAGATCTTTGGAGACAACTTTGTTAATCATTAAACCTGCTGATGTTCTGCACAATGAAAACAATGAGTTTTACCCATTCTTACTGGGACATTGAGACAATTGGAGGGAAGGCAGTCAGTAATTGCTAGTATTACTGTTGCAGTGGAAAATACAGAAAAAGATTATACCTGAGAATTTGGCAGAAGTGTGTCATAGATTTAATGTCAGAAGCGACCACTGTAATCCATAATGTGATAAACTTTGTGACCCAGTATTTCTTACGCAAAAGAATCTGCCTTGATTAGAATATACTTATTGGTATAGCTATAGATCTTTTTTATGACGTGCACAGTGAGAGTAAAACATTTAATTTAAAACAAGTGTAAAAACAGTAAATACAGAAGTTGCACAAGAACACTGGTAAGTGATGGGCTTGTCAGTCCTTTAGCTTCAGGCTTAATTTTGTTTCCTCCATGTAAGGTTTTCTTTTTGTTATAGGTCCACCCTTATAAAAATAGTTTTCTTCATGTCTTTAAGGATAATTGTAATGTTTTTCCATAGCAAAATCCTGAAGGAGTTAGACTGAATGTGTGTGTCGCATACAAACGTAGTTGTCAGAATTTTTTTGATGCTGTGAACACAAATATGTAATTCTGTCAAAAGCCACTTGGTGGCACAGAAAGATAATTCTGAAATACAACTTATGTGCTAAACACTGCTTTATTCAGTGCTTAGTCTACTACAGCTCTTTGTATCTTTGGAAGACATCTAATTTCTGTCTTTATAAATAAGTTCTATTGTGGACTTAGTCTTGGGTTTTGGTTTGATAATAAATATTTAAAGTCCTTTATAATGTGAAATATTATTTCATGTTGTTCATACGACATTTACTGATGTTGGAGAGCTATGCTAACTGTCTGTATCAGTTGGTCACAACTGTTCATTAATTGACAGACAGGAAAATAAAGTTTTTCTGTCCAAGAACCTTCACATCAGTTTAACTATTGATTACTTTTTCACCACTTTGAAGGCAGTGTGAAAGCCTGTATTATTCAGTAGCACCACACATCTTCCCATGGGAAGCTTATGTCTGTGATGTCAAGTGAGTATAACAAAACTGGGAATTGTTTTGTTTTCCACAGGAAACAAAATGAACAGAATAGCTGAGGGTTTGTTGCAGAGTATGTCTGCAAATTTCAGTTGTCAGTTTTTTTAAGATAAAAATTTCAGAAAACTTGTTGAATATGTAAGAGATAGACCTTTTTTTTTCTTTTGTTTTTGCTTTCTGACACTCTTTTTCAGCTGGGTGGAACCATTGGAGACATTGAAGGAATGCCATTTATTGAAGCATTTAGACAGTTTCAGTTCAAAGCAAAAAGAGAGAACTTCTGTAATATCCATGTTAGTCTAGTACCACAGGTAAGCTATTAAAATTAATAAAATAGATTTTACTCTGTATTGGGCTTTATATTTGTTTACTTCTTCCATTAATTCTCTCTTGCTTTAGGGATTTAGAGACAGAGATATGAAACCCACGCTGGGGTAAATAAAGACCTTGATAGATAAATATTTATTGATATGAGAATCTGTTTTAATGTTCTAAGTTACAAAAAAACCCATCAAAAAACCAACAAAAAACCCACCCCAAAACCAAACCCTTATCAACATTAATTTATCTAGAAGGCGACATATAGTTGTGCTTTGCAATGGAACATGCTGGTACAGTATGGACCCAGTGAGAAAGACACTCAGACTATCTAAGGTGCCATTTAAAATTTTGTTTGTTAGAGCTAACACTATAAGGAGTGTAAATGATCTTACGTCCCTCCAGGAGGTGAGAGCCCCAGGTGGTGGAGCGTTGAATGGTCCTGACATGCAACATGCTGGGCAGACCACGGCTGTAGAAGAGATTTTCCCCTTTTGGTCATTTGAACTGTTAGATAATTTTATTTCAAGGAAACAACTGTATCATTTTTACTGTCAAACAGAATGGATGTTCATGTGAGAACTTCTTGCCGCATCCCTAGATAAAGGCAAGGTCATGCAGGTGATGTAATAGCAGGTGGTGAGGCTCCTTGGTTAGAATGAGCTCTAAGGGATTTGTGCAGCACAAGCCTGGGCCTCCTCAGGTGAACTCTTAAGTGGTCCACTAATTCCTTGGTGTACAGTGGTCTTCCAGTCAAGACCAACTTTTAGTACAGGGCTAAAAGTATTTTTCCATTTGAACTCTAAATTTTATTCACAAATCAGTTTTATTATTTGTATTGGGTTTGTGTGGCAAGGCTTTGGGAGTGGGGGGGGACATGGGGTGGCTTCTGTGAGAGGTCACAGAGTTCAACCCACCACATTATTTTAAGAGGTAAGTATTCACTGGGGAGATTTTGGTAAGGAGAGATTAGTAATGGTGATGATGTTGCACCTTATACAGATAAAAAGAGAATTATTAACTACTGCAGCTATGGAGTAGAGGATTGATCAGCAATCGGTAGGATTGATTCTGTGTATTTGAGAACAGAATTGTTTACTACATGTGATTATTACCACAGTTGGTCACTGAAGGCTTTATGTTATGTTGAACATTTTGCATTTATTAGTAAAACCAGCTTTTGGAATATTCTTCTTCTACCTGAGTAAATTATATTGAAGGCTTTTTCTCTGAAAGAAAAAAAAAAACAAAACCCAACAAACCTGACCTGAATTTGGGCCATGTGGTTTCTTCACAGGATTTCTTACATAACTATTAACAGTGGTGCCATTTCTGTTTCTGGCATATTGTGCCTCTGTTTGGATATGTTTACTTCCTGCAAGTATTATGACTTGCAATGTCTTTTATCTTTTAACCTGTAACTGTTGTGTTAGTAGATTCAAGCTTTCAAAATATCTCTTTCCAGCCTAACGCCACTGGTGAACAGAAGACAAAACCAACACAGAACAGCGTTCGAGCACTGAGGGGTCTCGGCTTGTCTCCAGATTTGGTGAGTCAATAAATGCAGATTTTTATTTATAGGTCATCTATATGTATAACCTGTATGCATCTGTTTGTATAACCTGTGTTCAAAGAATAAGCCTTAGTCTCCCATGAAAGAGAAGAATTTTAGCAGAAAAGCAGAATATATGCTGCACAGCTTCACTGGAGCTGCAGGAAATCAGATTACTCAAAGTCACTCTAAGCTAACTTAATACAACTAACTTCTTGCAAAATCTTGGAACTGTAACTACGTTATTCTAAAGGGATTTTTGCAAAAAAACCCCATTCCATATTGCTAAAAATAAAGTCTCAGTTCACTTTGTGGGAAGACCTAGAATGCCTCTGGCTTCCACCATTCACAGATTTCTTTTCATGCATGATTAAGAAGGAGAAATCCTGCCTTTGAAGTACAGCTTTTAAAAAGATTCCTGTTTGGAAATATAAAACATGTGAGTGAATCTTCAAAGTAGAATTTCTGAGTTTCTTTCATAGACTAGTTTGGATGTTGAATGTTTCCAGGAATGGGGCTTCTACCACCTCTCTGAGCAACCTGGTCCAGTCCAGTGTTTCACTATCCTCATTGTAAAAAACTTCCTCCTTATATCTAGTAACAAGTATGTGCTTATTCCCTGGACACAATGTTTGCCTCCTTGTCACTTTCCTTGGAAGCAGTGAGGAGACATAAGTAGATTGCAGCTCCCTGTTGTGATACCTGTCTGACACTGCTGTTAATCTGCTTGGTCAAGTGTTGATAGCATAGCTTCAAACGCCGGTACAGTCCCAGTTTCAACTTATGCTCATATCTTCCTGAGCTGCAGCTGGTGCAGCTGAAGACCCACTTTGTTTCTAGGACTGCTTCAGGAACAGAAAAGGACAATTTTGCTCTTTCATGTGAGGCTGCTTGTTAAGTCAAATAACATTTTCCTTACTTGATTCTGGAACTTGTTGAGTACTTCCCATTCCCAATCCTATAAAAGTCCACTGGGAGAAAAAGCTTCTTGGCCCTTCTCAGAAATGGAAGAATAGTGAGTGCTCTCTATAATATTTATATCCTTAAAAAGGAAAAATGATTCTTAAAAGGATAGTCACAGAACTAAATTTTGTGTTGTGCTTCTTTCTGAATTTTTTTTTAACTCTTGCATTTTATGTTTACCAAAAAGCATGTTTATAAGTAGAAAACAAATGGCTTTATAAATAGGGTGCATGAAGAATGTGTTAGGTGGCTTCAGGTTGTTGTGACCTGATAACTGTAATCAGCTTGTGGAGGGAAAGACTTCTATTAATGCAGTTCTGCTTTGTATTCCAAGCTTCAGGGCCTAAATTTTGAAATCCCTGTTGAGGTGCTAATTGCATATGGAAAGTTGCATGTGATTTTTGAAAGCCTTTAAGATGACTGCCAGTGCCTGACTTCCCTCCGCCCTTTCCCCCCCCGCAATTAATTTTTAAAAACCTGTTAGGAGTAAAAGGAAAACAGACTAATCTAGTCACTTTCTTACATCTTGAGTTCTTGCCTGGGGCAGTTTGGAGACTGTCAGAAGTGAAGTACCTTTTTTTTATTTGCTGTGGTTTTCTTAATTGTTTTTTAAGCTGCTGCTGTTGACCACTAAAGCGTAGAGATTACACTCTGAGCATGGCCTCTTGGTGCTGTTATAAAGTTGCTCAAGCATTGGATCAAGAAAATCTTTAAATGGTTGCTCTCTTGGACAGGAGCCCAAGACCAAGACAGCACACAGGGAAGCTCCTAGAACAGCAGTCAGGAGGGCTTCCTTCAGGAGCTGTGCTGTCAGGCTGCCTGATCTAAACTTGGCTAGACCTGTTCTTAATACCTGCTGCCTCCCAGTGGTCCCAGGCTTCCCTGAAGTGACATGCTGGGCCAGTCTCAGCTGTGCGTGTACAGGAGCCTTTGTGTTCTCCATGGGGTGTTCTAAGCACTTAATGAATATGGTGTATTTGCAGATTTAATGGACTCTTATTACAGCATTTTGAAACTGATTATGTGCTTGTCAGTGCTGCTCTATTCAATGGACTTGTTCCTCGTCTTTGTGTTATGTTTCTTTGAGATACATCTCTGCCACTTATTGTAGTTTCGTATTTTCATGCTGATTCTGATGTTTTTGGCTTTTGTGACTGCATTAAATTTAAAATTGTCTCAGCAAGGTGGATGATAGATTTCCCAGTGGAATTAATCATGTGCTCATACTATCAAGGTTTATGATGAATTATATCTTCAATCAGTGCTCAGTTTTTAAGTATAAGTTGTGCTTAATTCAATAGAATATACAAATTGTTTTATAATTATTTTTTATTATTAGAATGAGCACTAATTTTCCCTTGTACTTACCATTGTTCTTCTGTTTCTAGAATTTCTTCCAAGAGTAGGGGAAGTTAATTAGACTTTATCAGTATAGCTAAGCTGTATTCTAGCAAGGTGATCAAAGATCAGCTACAAGTTTCTGAACTAAAAAGGGCTTAGTGCATTAAGTAGTTGCATTTGCTAGAAAGATGAGGAAAATAATGAGTTAATCTTTTAACAGGATCATTCTACTTTTTGTTATACTTTCAGGATTCAAAATAACTTAAGGTAGTAGACTGAGTACTCAGTAGGCACATTGGTAGAGCAGTTCTGCATTTTGAGCTAGTTGCCTGAAGTTACATAATGCAAAAAAATCCCTTGCAACAAACACTAAAACACATGCTTATTTTCTTTATTGATAAAAATTATCAATGTTTTCTTAAATTCCCAAGTTTTACATATATCAGCAAAATAATAGCAGAATAATTGCACCAGGAAAAAAATCCCACAAAACTATGAAATAGTTTTCTGATCTTCAGCCTGCTTGTTTTTGTCATGATTTACAAATTAAAAATTACAAAAAGATGCTGAAGTACTGAAATACTAGAAAACATGCATATTATCTAACTATTATTGCTCTAAATTTAGCTGATAAGATGATAATATTTCTTTTGATTAATCATATTATTCATACTTACAGAGCTGCCAGACTTTAGGTAGAGTATTACAATGATAGCTACAAGAAATGAGAACATGAGGAAGCAGTATCACAGAGAATACCAAAGAAAGCTTACTAAAAGGGGCTCGATATGGGCAGGAGGTTGATTTACTTCTGCCTTGCTAGCAGATATTTGTGAGCTATGATATGCTGTAGAACTCCAAAAGAGAGGAAGGGGTAAAAAAGGTACATCTGTTTGTGCTGCATTTCCAAAAGAGATTAATTTCTCCATAAACAGTATTGAGGATCTTCTATTGGTTTGCCTTGTAAATATTTAAGATTTTTCCTTCTGTTATGACAGATAGTCTGCAGAAGTGCAAAACCTATAGAAATGGCAGTGAAGGAAAAGATATCCATGTTTTGTCATGTGGAGCCTGAGCAGGTCAGTACTTTAATATTTTATTCGTCATTATTTAAGTATGTGGGAAAGCATACAGATATTTCTGTGCATTTCTGTTTTCAACCTCAGACTGTTTCATTAATATTTTATTGTTTTTACATTTTTTTTCTTTTACTGTCATGTACACTATAACAGTTTAAAAATATTGGGAGTTTATATTGTTAAATTTTATGTCAAACTGTCATTAGCAATTTAAGTGCAAGTTATGTAAAAAGTCAATAAAAGGAATAGATTTTGAATATATGGTTTATGGTTAGTCATAGTTGTGAAAACTGTGCAGTTTCATGCTATGGTTGGTTATTGTCCGTAAGTCATCTCAGGTGGTTATAATAATGGCTGAAAGTATGGTTAAGGCTAGAGGTTTTGCTTGTGTCCATAGGTCATTGCAGCCACATGAACACTCTTACTGTAGTATGTAATAGGCTATTCATGCCTTTAAACATGCTTAGAACATCTTCTGAGTAGTTACAGATCCTTTTATAATTCACATGTGATTTTTGGCCTTAATAGTTTTAATTAATCCATTGCTATTCAAATATTAATTTAGATAAATCAATATAATATAATATTTTTGCAAGTGAGAGCATTTTACTTTTCAATGTAATAGATAATATTAAAGGGATAATAGATTCTAACAGTTATGCTATAGAGAGGTTGTGGAATCTCCCTCCCTGGAGATATTAAAAAAACACCTGTACAAAATCCTGGTTCATGTGCTCTAGGAGTCCCTGCTTGAGCAGGCTGGTTGGACTAAATGACCTTCAGAGGTCCCTTTCAACCTCAAACATTCTGTGATTCTGTTAATTTAAATATGTGTCAGTGTTGACCTCTCTCTCCGCAGATGCATAAGAAAAAGCTTTTTATAGTAAGATTCCAGATGAGGACGTAGAGTGCAGTGTGGCCATGCAGGACTTTGCACTTCCCTTAGTTGACCTTCATGAGGTTCCTGTCAGCCCCTTTCTCCTGCCTGTTGGCAGGATGGTAGCATGGCCCTCTGGCATTATCTACCTCTCCTGCCACTTTGGTGTCACCTGAAAACTTGCTGAAAGTATGTTCTGCCCCATCATCCAGGTCATTAATGACAGTGTTAAACAGGACTGGACCCAGTACTGACCCCTGGGGTCCACCAGTATTTACTGGCTTTCAACTAGACTGTGCTGCTGATCATCAGCCTCTGGGCCCAACCATTCTGCCGGTTTTCCTCACTGTCTGCTCATACATGAACGGGTTGTCTATGAGGATTTTACAGGAGGGAATGTTAAAAGCCTTCCTGAGACTTTATCACAACCTAATTGGGTGTGTTTTGTTACATTCCATTTATGTTCTTTCTTTCCCATTTAATATTCTTCAAGTTTGTGAGAGAGGGAGAAGGAAGTGTTAGCAAGCATGACTGTTTGTGAGGTTAGATGTTTGTACTAAAACTGATGTGTTGATTGTCTTGACGTGCTATTTTTGTATGATGGAGCGATGAAGTCAAACATATTTTTATCTTTTGAGTAACTTCTTCCACGTAGATTTAGTGGAATTTTAAATATTGGCTGTGCTGCCTTGCTCATTCAAAAGAAAAGTATTTAAAAATTAGAATGTATGTAGAATACAACACACATGTAGCATACAAAACATAAAATGTATGTTTCCTGTGAAAAAATTTAGGTAAGTGTTTATGTTATGTTGGATGTTTTTTTTCTTTTGTTAGGTGATATTTATCCATGATGTTTCTTCCACTTATCGAGTACCAATCCTGTTGGAGGAGCAAGGCATCATTAAGTATTTTAAACAAAGGTTAAATTTACCTATTGATGACCAGCCAAGTGATCTTCTAATGAAATGGAAGAAAATGGCTGACAGGTATTCTAACTCCTGCTGCTTTTTCTAGAAGTGTTTTAACTCAAGCTAGATTTTTAGCTGCTGTGAAGTCACTAGACTGGACTGGGATCAGTAGCATGCTGCTGATCAAGACCTGTGAATGGTCTGAGTTTAAAACCGTTGTCAGTTTTGAAATTTTAGAAGATATTTTGTGAAGTTAAAGAAAAAACAAACACTCTTAAAATGTTTTATTTGTGAAAATTGGTGTGATAACTGAAAAACTTGTTTTTGTCAGATATGAAAGGCTGCTGAAGGTGTGTTCCATAGCTCTCGTTGGCAAGTACACAAAACTAAGTGATTGCTATGCATCTGTTTTCAAGGCTCTGGAACACTCTGCACTGGCAATTAACCACAAACTGGATTTAATGGTAAGGATATTTCTGGATTTTGCTTTCAGGAATACTTTGAATATACCCTGCTAGTTCCTATCATGTGAGGTAGTTTTAATTCATGTGGAAATTAGAAAATGAATCGTGCAGATATATATATGCTTGGCCAGTCTATATTTATATATTTTTTTAAATAAGTGTTTACAGATTTAATTACTTGTTTTTTTGGAAGTAAACTTATCCAAAAGGAATGCTGCAATTACCCCAAGCTGGATCTGATGAAAATGCAGGCTTTACCTGCAAATTGATATTTACTATCAAAGGTAGGTTTCACTTGTTCTCATGAGACTGCTTATCACCTTAATGAGATTAGTGTAAAGAGAGGGAGAAAATAGATAAATTGCAAAGCAGTTCAGTTTCTTCTTAAAATCCAGTGCCAGAATGGCACTGTTATTGTTCTTAATTTCA